GTAGGAGACATTCTCATTGTGCATGCTTTGCCTTCTTCTTATTAGTCAGTGGAGATGATAGTAGTTACATAACTCAGGTTACCCTAGGCTTTTAACTAATGGATAGAACACTTGCCCTGGAAACAGAAGCAAAGTAAGCACATCTAGACCAGAAAGCATCTTTTTCCTTTACCCTTTTGGGTTATCCTTACAATTTCCCCATGTTAAATGTTCACATGTTCACTCCCTTGCATAAATCCTGATAGCCTCTGGTTTTGAGTGGAATCAGATCTGAATGAAGCTGGAGAGATCATATAGAGTAGCATTCTGCTTTTGTTAGGAACTGAGTTTAACCTCTGCTCGGATAAGGAACTGCCTTCTTTCCAAAGACTATATCGGACCAGGAAAGAGTAGCTGATACTGGAGCAACCCTCCTGCCAAAAGAAGAAAAAATTATAAAAGTTTATTTAAAACAACTGTTTACAGGCATTGTAGAGCAACTAACATAGTATTTGAGGGAATACCATTCCTGAGAGGAAGAAAGCACTTGGAATTGAGCTACATAGTCACTCTGGCATTTTCCCTGAGGGTACTTGCCAATTCTCTATCCAAGAGTGTGGGGTCCCAGCAGAAAGCCCAGTCCTACAGGGCTTAGAGGTTGGAGTTAGGGGCTATTAAAGTATTTGGGATCTGAAACACAAAATCCCAGGAGAAAGAAAACCACAAGGAAGAAAGTGAAAAATGTGCTTGTAATCTTCCCTTGGGGTATTTGCCAACTCCTAAGGTACACATGATCAGAGCAAGGCTCCAAGAATCCTTGTAAAAAGCAGCAGTTGGGAATGTTGTGAGCAATGCAGATATTTCAGCAGCCATATACAGTGCTGGTGAGAGGTTGGTATTCAAGGCCTGCCAAGGTAGAGGGGCCCTGGCAAATACAGACACCCCAGGCTTTAATTGGAGGCCTCAGAAGGACCACACTTTGAGCATAAGGGAAAGCTGAAATAAGCTAGCTCTGACACAACTTAAAACTGACCTCTGACAGGATTAAAGTGGCCTGACTGTACTCTTACACCTGCCAGAAGAATACGTTACACTCTTAGGAGGAAGATAATCTGAATCATCCAGAACCTCTACAGGTTTTAAACAGAATGTCTGCCATCCAATAAAAAATTAAGAAGCATGCTAAAATTGAGACCAAATGACCAAAATGAAGAGAAAAACAACAGATATCCACAGGTGATTCAGATATTGGAGTTTATTAGTCAAGAACTGACTATGTTTAAGAAAGTAGAAAAAAAGAAGGATACTTTCAACAAAGACATGAAATCTACTTTTGACAAGATCAAATGGAAATTCTGGAACTGAAAAAATATAGGAATGAAATTAAGAATTTAATACATTATTTAATAGCAGTTTAAACACCAAAGAAAAAGGGATAGAAGATTATTGAACCAGAAGAAAAGTTAGTAGAAAACACCCAGATTGAAGAGAGAAAACATACTGAAAAGAGAATAAGAGATACATGAGATATATTGAAAACATTGTGAAATATATTTCACATTTATGTACATTTGGAGTCTCAGGAGAGTGCAACGGAAGTAATATTTAAGAAATATTGGTGAAACCCCATCTCTACTCAAAATACAAAAAATTAGCCGGGTGTGGTGGCGGGTGCCTGTAGTCCCAGCTACTAGGGAGGGTGAGGCAGGAGAATGGCATGAACTCGGAAAGCAGAGATTGCAGTCAGTGAGCTGAGATCACGCCACTGCACTCCAGCCTGGGTGACAGAGGGAGACTCTGTCTCCAAAAAAAAGAAATATTGGCTGAGAGTTTTCTAAAATCAGTGGAAAGCATCAAACCACAAATTGAAGAAGCACTACAGTCCTCAGTGGAATAAATACAAAGGGCCACATCTAGGCATGTCATAGTTGAATTACTGTAAGCCAAAGACAGAGAAAGCTTAAATGCAGTCAGAAATAAAAAGCATATTGTCTTCAAAGGTGCACCAGTAAGATTGACAGCTGGTTTATCAATGAAGAATTGGTTGAAACCAGAATACAATAGAAGTATACCTTGAATGTTCTGAAAGAAAATAATCACTCACCTAGAATTCTCTACCTATCAAAATTATCCTTCAAAAATTGTTTGGGTAAAAAGAAGCTTTCAAACAAGTAAAAAGAGAGAGTCATCCACTAATTCTGCAATGAAATAAATAAAATAAATTCTTCAGTTAGCAGGAAGATGATATGTGATGGAAGCTCAGATATGCATCAAGAAAAGAAAGGGTAAATACATGGTGAAAATTTACTTTAAAAAATAATGATGTCCCCAGGCACGGTGGCTCTTGCTTGTAATCCCAGCACTTTGGGAGGCCAAGGCTCGTGGATCACGAGATCAGGAGTTTGAGACCAGTCTGACCAACATGGTGAAACCCCATCTCTACTAAAAATACAAAAATTAGCCGAGTGTGGTGGTGCATGCCTGTAATCCCAGCTACTTAGGAAGCCAAAGTGGGAGAATCGCTTGAACCTAGGAGGTGGAGGTTGCAGTGAGCCAAGATTGCGCCACTGTACTCCAGCCTGGGTGACAGAGAAAGACTCTGTCTCAAAAATAAATAAATAAATAAATAATAAAAATAAATAAATAAAAAACATGTCTTGTGGGATTTAAAATGTGTAGATGAAAAATATTTGACAATAATAGCATAGCAGATAGGAGAGAGCTGATAAGTTATAAAATTGTTAGTTTGAGATGTAATATAATAAAGCAATGATGCTTACTGTAGTTGTTAGGAAAGCTACTCAATAACAAAAGACTAAATAACTAGCAACCTAATGAAGAAGAAAAATGTGGAATAATAATAAAAATTTTTTGATCAATTCTAAAGGTGAGAAAAAACTAAAATAACAAGAGATAAATAGGAAACAAATAGAATGATCATACATTTAAACTCAGCCATATCAGTAATGTAAATTAAATATAAATGGACTGTATTTGTAATTAGGAAACAAATATTTTTGGATGAGATAATATATTAAAACCCAGTAACAGATTGATTATCCCTTATCCAAAATGCTTGGGAGCAGAAGTATTTAAGATTTCAGATTCTTTTTTTAGATTTTAGGGAATCTGAAATGCTCCGATGAGCATTTCCTTTGAGCATCATGTCAGCACTCAAAAAGTTTTGGATTTTGGAGCATTTTAGATTTGAGTTTTTTGGATTTAGGATGCTCAAACTGTATATGTGTTTTGCAACAGACAAGCTTGGGACAAGCTTTGAGGGTAAAAATTTGAAATATATATTTATAAACTTGAAATACATATATGTGTATATAAATAAATATACACACACACCCTACACAATCCATAGCCACACATACAGGCAGACAAAAATCAATAAGGATATAGAATATTTAAACAAAATTATACCCATCAATTGCAGAATATATATATTTTTAAGTCTACATACATTATTTATAAAAATAAACAATGTGCTGGGCCATAAATCAAGTTTGAATAAATTGTAAAGTATTGAAATCACATGTGTTCTCTGACCACAGCACAGTCAAAGTGCAATCAAAGTAGAAATCAGTAACAGAAAGATAAATAGAAAAAATAAAAATATTTAGAAATTAAACAATATTCAAAGGAAATTAGAACTTTTTTGTCTAAATGGTAATGAAAATGATATGTAAATGTGCAGGGAGCACTTAAATAGGACATAGCGGGAAATTTATAACTTTAAATGCATATATTAGAAATGAAGAAAGGTTGAAATCAATGATCTAAACTTTAATTTTAGGAAGTTAAAAGCAAGATTAATTAAATTCCTTCAAAATAGAAGGAAATAATAAAATAAGAACAAAAACTAGCAAAATAAAAAAAAGTAGGATGTGGAAAATCAACAAAATCAAAAGTCGGTTTTTACAAAAAGATTAACAAAATTGATAAAGCTCTACTAAGACTGATCAAGTACAAAGAGAAAACACAACAGTATCAGGAATGAAAAGAGATGTATTACAATAGATTCTACAGGTGTTAAATGGATGTGAATGCACAGCTTTATTTCAATAAATTTAACAATTTAGATGGAATGAAGATATCCCTTGAAAAGCACTACTTATGAAACTGACATACACACAGAAAAACATGCATAATCCTATGGCTATGAAAGAAAATTAATCCATAATTTAAAATGTTCACACACACACACACACACACACACACACACACACACACACACACACACACCAATCCACCCACCCACCCACACCCTTGCCCAGATGGCTTCTGTGAGGAATTCCTCTAAAACCTTTCAGGGAAGAAATAATGCCAACCTCGCATAAAAGTTCTCAAAGAACAGAAAAAGAGAGAATAGTTTCCACCTCATTTTGTAAGGCCAGCATAACTTTGATACCATAACCTGACTTAGATATTGCAAGTGTTGAGCAAAACAAATCAGACACAAAAGGGTAAATACTGTTTGATTCCATTAATATGAAATTCAAGAGCAGACACCACAATTGTAATCAGCATAATGGTTACTCTTAGAGGGGTGAGATACTGACTGGGAAATAGCATGAGGGAATCTTTTGGAATGCTGGAATGTTCTATATCTTTATCTGGATACTAATTATAAGAGTATATACATATGTATAAATCCATTGAGCTGTACACGAGATTTGTGCACTTTACTGTGTGTATGTTATATAAGACAAAATATTATACACTCTGCTATAACACATCAATAGTCTCATCATTACATAATTTATCTTCTATCTTAATTGAATCCAATGTGCATTTCACTTGCTAACATTTTATTTTGACTGCATTTGATAAATGCAAACTTCTGATAGTAGCTGGCTTGAACAGCAGGGAGCATTTGCCCTAGGTACCCCCACCCCTACAACTTTGAGAATAAAGGAATTAGCTAAACCCAGAGTTGACTGTGATGGAGCATCTAGTTTTCCCACTCTGTCTCACTTGCTTGCTCACTTAAAACAGCATTGTTTTCTTTATAGGCCCGGTGGTTCTGGGAAGCGTACTTCCAGTCAATTAAAGCCATTGCCCTGGCCACCCTGCAGATTATCAATGACCGGATCTATCCATATGCTGCCATCTCCTATGAAGAATGGAATGACCCTCCTGCTGTGGTAAGTGAATTCCAGTGCTAGCCACGTGAGGCATGGTCCAGCTGTCAGGGTGGGTGGAAGGAAAATGTACTACAATTGTAAAGGTTATTTAAATTATAGCTTTCTAAGATGAGAGTGTGCTTTTTATACTTGGGGGCTGATAAGGGCAGCGTAATTTTGAAACGCTGACAAGAGTGAAAAATACGGAAGCAGCAGCTTCCAGTGTGTTTTAAATGTGCTTAGAAAGACCATCTGTTTATTTTTTTGCAGAGATAAGTAAGGAGGCATGGGTCTTGTTGGAAATCAAAGACATCCTGGTGACTTTTGCAATTGTAATGCTTAGAGCTTTTGAAAAAGTTCTATAAGCAACTTAATAATAATAGCTTGTATTTTGAGTGCTTACTCTCTGCCAGGGACTGTGCTAAGTGCTTTACATGTATTACTTCAATCAATATTTCCAACACACTGTGAGGAAAATAATAAGCAGAAGTGATCTAGAGGCATTACGGATTGCTATAGTCATTTGCTCACAATTGTGGCAGAGGCCTCTAGCTATTTCCAGCAAAGAGATGGAGCGGTCAGAAGCTGTTCTTGGGCTTTCTTCCTTGTGTGAAGGAATCATAAGGCACATGTGTCATTGTAGAGACTGTGGCAGTGGCTTCTAGACACACCTTCTTTTTCACTGAAAATGCCTGAAGTTCTGGAGCTGGAAATTACTACTTCCTAGCTGCTCTGAAGTGGACCTGGCTGTCCAGCTCACAGACCTCAAGGCGTTCCTGTAAGAGAACTAGACTCTTCTCCATTCTTCGTTCTAATCGTCTCTCTCTTTCTGACCAGCCCTCCTTGTCTCCTGATTCTACCTTTTATTTTATTTTTTAAAAATTATTATTATACTTTAAGTTCTAGGGTACATGTACACAACATGCAGATTTGTTACATATGTATACATGTGCCATGTTAGTGTGCTGCGCCCGTTAACTCGTCATTTACATTAGGTATATCTCCTAATGCTATCCCTCCCCACTCCCCGCTCCCCACAACAGGCCCCAGTGTGTGATGTTCCCCACCCTGTGTCCAGGTGTTCTCATTGTTCAACTCCAACCTATGAGTGAGAACATGCGGTGTTTGGTTTTCTGTTCTTGCGATAATTTGCTCAGAATGATGGTTTCCAGCTTCATCCATGTCCCTACCAAGGACATGAACTCATCTTTTTTATGGCTGCATAGTATTCCATGGTGTATATGTGCCACATTTTTCTTAATCCAGTCTATCATTGATGGACATTATTGCTATCATTGATTCTACCTTTCCTTTCTTTCTTTCTTTTTTTTTTTTTTTGAGACTGAGTTTTACTCTTGTTGCCCAGGCTTGAGTGCAGTGGCGTGATCTCAGCTCACTGCAACCTCTGCCTCCTGGGTTCAAATGATTCGCCTGCCTCAGCCTCCCTAGTAACTGGGATTACAGGCGCCCGCCACCACACCCAGCTGATTTTTTATTTTTAGTAGAGACGGGGTTGGCCAGGCTGGTCTCGAACTCCTGACTTCAGGTGATCCACCCGCCTTGGCCTCCCGAAGTGCTGAGATTACAGGCATGAGCCATTGCGCCAGGCCCCGATTCTACCTTTTCTAAATAGTGCTGTATATGGCCACCTGATTAATCTTCATATAGGACCATCCTTTTCTCTTTCCTTTCCTGCTTCCCTTCTTCCTACTTTCATCCAGCCTTTTTGAAATGGTTACTGGGTTTTAGGTACTCAGGTGCTGAGAATACAGAAAAAAGAAAACAGTTCCTGCCCTCAAAGAAGCTCTCCACTAATTTGGGAAGCTAGCAAGTAATGCCGTGAACATAGAGGTCCTGTAGTGGAGTGGTGTACTGAGTGCTGTGGGTGCACAGGGGACAGGCATCTCTTCTTGCTGGGACACTTCCTGAAGAGGGAGCGCCCGAGAGGAAGTCAGTATGTGCATATGGTTAAAAACAACAGCAAACATCTCTATGTTTTGCTTGAGGTGAAGTTTCCTTCTATCTCCTCCTTGACTCCATTACCAAAGGCAACATCTCAGAATGTTACCATTCATACATAAGCATAATTTTGTAGTTTTAAAACATATATGGGATTATACTATACTTATTTTTCTGCCTTTTTTTATTTCAGCACTAGATGGTAGACTTATTTTTGTTTTATTCTATATAGGTCTACTTCAGTTTTTTAGGATGGCTGTATTAGTATTCAATTGTTTGGGTATATCGTATGTAATAGATCTATTATTGATAGGTATTTAGACTGCTTTCTTTTTTTTTTTTTTTCCTTCTTTCTAACAGTAATACAAGGGCATACTTTCATATGTTTACACATAAATATGTGAATATATCTACAGAATTAATTCCAGCTAAAAAACTGCTTAAAGAAAATACATGTTGGCCGGGCGCGGTGGCTCACGCCTGTAATCCCAGCACTTTGGGAGGCCGAGGCGGGCAGATCAGGCGGTCAGGAGATTGAGACCATCCTGGCTAACACAGTGAAACCCCGTCTCTACTAAAAATGCAAAAAATTAGCCGGGTGTGGCAGCGGGTGCCTGTAGTCCCAGCTACTTGGGAGGCTGAGGCAGGAGAATGGCGTGAACCCGGGAGGCAGAGCTTGCAGTGAGCCGAGATCACGCCACTGCACTCCAGCCTGGGCGACAGAGCGAGACTCCATCTCAATAAAAAAAAAAAAAAAAGAAAATACACATTTTAAATGTTGATAGATATTAACAAATTTCTCTTTCAAAAGACTATATTAATGTATAGTTTCACAAATAACATTTGGGTGTTCTAGTTCTCCATGCCTTCAGTAATGCTGGGTATTTGAATTTTTTTGCTCATCTCATAAGTGAGAAATGGTCTTCATTCATCACAAAACACCGTGTATCTTACATAAGGCATTGGAGTGTTATCTGTGAGAAACAAAAAATCACGGAAGCCTTTTAAACAAGGGAGTAATGTGATAAGATTGCATTTTGGGTCAGTCTCATCTTAGTGTGGAGGATGGATGATGCATGGCAGTGGGACCAGACTGGAGGCAGTAGACTGTTTGAGAAATCCAGATGAAAATTAATAGAGGACACATTTGAGTGGTGTCTGGAAAAATGGACTATTCTAACTGTTAAGTGAGGGAGAAGTTCAGGAGACTGAGGTTTACTGTATAGTTTATCCAGATAGGGAATTTGGTTGCATGAGGAGTCATGGATGAGGATGGTATTGGCGTCCAAACTCAGTCTAAGGGCAGGGCCCTCCACAATCTACCTTTCTTTCTTTTTTTCTTTTCTTTCTTTCTTTCTTTTTTTTTTTTCCCCCTGTTCTGTTTCAGAGAGTTCTAGATTTCTGGCAGCACAACTCAATCCTTCCTCTGTGTGCCCCTGTTTTTCCTCCTCTGTGCCTTTGTGGCTGCTAGCCTTTTCCTTGGCACACCTTTCTTCCCCATCATCTGCAGATTTATACAGGCTTCAGTGGCTGGCTGGTAAACTCCTTTCTCCAGGAGGTCTTCCCAACCCCTTCAGTAGGAAGTAACTCTTAGAGCATGGTATCTGTGTTTCTTTTCCATCACTTACCATGTGTATAAGTGGAATTTCCTGTAAAGTTTTAAGCACCTTAAGGTCATTTCTGACCTTGGTGTTTCTCATAATACCTAGGACAACTTAATTCAGACGGGAAGATCTTGATATATAAAGGAAAGAAAGAGGGATGGAGAGAGGGAGAAAGGGAAGGAGGGAGGAAGATTGGCATCCTAGGACTTGAGCCATCTAAGACACATCCTGCTGGGAAGGTGGGGTAAGTGGTAGATTGTTTCTCATCTGTATAGTGGTTGTAAGGAGAGTAACCCAATGACTTATCTAAGATCATGTAATGGCAAGTTGTGTGAGCAACTGAGAACCCAGGTCTTCTACCTGCAGATTATCTTGAATTGCCATGGAATTATAGGGGAGCCCTTGAACCTCCTCTGAGCTAAAACGTTACTACTGTTCCAAGCAAATGGTACAAGCTTGAGATGAAAAATATTTCATCTGTTCCTCTGCAGGAGAATTCATACCAGTGCAGGAGAATTCATAGAGAATTCTGTCTGGTCATGACCCAGACAGGAAGTGCAGAAATACTGGGACTTTATCCTATACTTTTATCTAAAGCTCTAAGAGATGTTTAATAAAAATAAAGAGTTGGACTTTAGTTGTTTTTTATAAGAATATAGATAGGCTAGGAAAAATAGAATATGACATTTTGCAGTTTTGAAATAGATATGTTTTAATTCAGGACAGAATGGTCAAAGTGCTAAACTCTTAACAATTTGAGAAATAAGCATAAAAAGCACAAATCAAGGTATATAACTGGGAAATATATTCTCTATATATTTTTAACTCTTTCTTAAATAATCCTTTTTAGGATACTTTGGTATTTATCACATTTCTAGCTCAGGTGCGAGAGCCCTGATTTAAAGCAGTAGGTTATACATTTCTGCATCTTCAGTGAAAACAACTGATGGGAGGCCTGAATAGCGATGGTTTATTTATAGTTAACTTCTCCCCTTCCCTCAGAAATATTTAACCTACTCTAGATGAGATTACTATGAGCCCAACCTGCAGGGGAGTCTCTTCTCTAGATTCCATCAAATTTATGATGTCTGACACTCCGAGGTGGGAGTAGGCGTGGATCTTGGTCAGTAAATCAAAGGGTGGTCTGGGGTTTTCAGAGATACACTCTTAGGGTCTCCAGCCATGCACAGAGCTTGCTCAGACTGGAGAAGGAGAGGTGAGAGTTCAGAATCATATTTTGGCTAGATACAGCTGCCTTAGTTTAATGTAAAAAGAAGAGGGGGGGCCTATGTGTGTCAACGATTATGACAGTGAGAGGTGGTCTTTCAGAGTATTCATGTCACTAGATGCTTTGTCACTCTTATCTGTAAAACTAGGGTGATGACATTATCCACGTTGCACCACACCCTCAGAACCTGAAAAAGTTTGACACAGTAAAACTTGGACGTAATGTTAACA